CAGAGGAGGAGCCAAGGGGACGTGGCCAGAGGAGGAGCCAAGGGAGGGCACCTTTTTAATGTTTGATCCCCCTGCTCTTAGGACCTGGCTATGCCACTGACTGCCCCCCCCCTTAATACCTTGTGACCCCCACTCACAACTCCTTTTTGGGTCAGGACCCTCCAATTACAACACTGAAATTTCAGATTTAACTAGCTGAAATCATGAAATGTACTATTTTTAAAATTCTATGACCGTGAAATTGACCAAAATGGATCATGAATTTGGTAGGGCCCTATAGATTACAGTACATGAATCTCTAGCATCAATGATATCATTGGTCTTGGACTGCAGTTAAACTCTTGATTATCTGTGATGTTACAGAAATAAAGATAAAATTCTATCCAGGGACTGAAGACCATTCAAAGCATCTGTGTTTAAAAGACTAGCTCCAAATAGTCTGTTGCTGTAGCTAAATTTTATCCCTAAATGAGGGAAAATGACACCATCACCTACTTGATCCTTGATGCAACATCTGTAAAACGTGCACCTTGTTGAGAAGTTTTTCTTTTTTTAAATTCCTGTTTCTGGCAGTAGTTCAGTGATTTATCTTTCCTTACTACACCCTGTACATCCAAGTTCTCTGAAAGGCTTGAATAAAACTCACATCTTTTAATAATTTTGTGACCATGAAAGTGAGAGCGGGACACCTAGAATTCTGCAGGTTTCAAACTGAATAATGGGACCATATTTTTATTGTTACATCAGCTCTCTGGTCTTTGCTATAGACATCTGGCATATGGGATTACAGTATTCCAGTAGGACTGATTTGTATTTTGTAGCACCTGAAGTAAATTTGCATTTAGCCAAGCAATTTGCATTTAACTGTCTTTCTCTACTCCTTATTTATTGTAGAGCTGTAATGAAAAGACATAGCACTTAATTATTTCAAGTCTTTAAAAATAGTTAAAAGCTTATTACAGGTTATCGTATACTTCACTGTACTGTTTCTTGGTAATATTGCTGATCAATATAAAAATTTGGTACTGTAGCTTTGTGCTGTGTAAGTCAAATTAAAGCTTCTACAGCCATCATATGCTGAGTGAAATTCCAATAATGTTTATTGCCTTCTCTGGGTTATTTGAAATAATCATGGTGATCAAAGCAAGCCATTAGTGGTATCAAGCTTTTAATTATAAATTGTAGTTTGAACGATATTTTCCAGTTATAACATGGGACCAAAAAGAAGACTGGGTTTGGAAGTGTGGGTAAACAGACTGCAAATACTAAGTAAATGTCTGTATAACTTGCACATCAACTTGGATACCTTTCTAAGAAAGAATCAGGATTTTAAAAATGTACTGATGGCTTGTAATAACTAGTTTGGGCAAACTACCAGTTTGCCGTAATATATTATCTTGTCATTGAATCAGGCATTGATAGCAGAAGAGACCAGGAGTAAAGTAGCAGAGCAGGAGGAGGATCCTGAGAAGTTTCGAGAGGCGCTAGTGAAATTTGAAGCCAGATTTAACTTCCCTGAAGCAGAGAAGTTAATTACCTATTATTCATGCTGCTGCTGGAAGGGTAAAGTTCCTCGTCAAGGCTGGCTTTATCTGAGCATCAACCACCTCTGTTTTTATTCCTTCTTCCTAGGCAAAGAATGTAAGTGTGAACATATAAAAACTGTTATCCCTATACCCTATGCAGACTTGTAAACATACATATCACTTTTTGGGTAATTTTTAAGTTGATGTATTTAAATCTAATCTTCTTCTATGGTATTTGGCTAATGCAACAGTGAAGAGTTCTGAAACTTGTTTTGTTTGGGTCAACTATCTTGTTAAATTTGAGTGTATTTGCTTTTAAAAATTCTACGTTGTCATGTGTCATCCATTTTTATATTTTACTTACAACAAACTGTTTTCTTATTAGTATACATAGATAATTGCTTTAAACTGTTGGTTTTTTAAATGTGAAGTGGACCGTGGTGGTAAGTGTATGGTGGAAGTCAGGAAAATAGTCTGCTCTAAAAGCGTGCTAAATAGTTTAGGCCCCAAAGTAGATCTGCCTTAAAATGTATCTGATGTGACAGATTCTTAAATACCTATTTTTAATACAGAACATAGTCATTCAGAAACAGTCCCTCCCCCATTGGTGTGTACATTCACACACACAAAAATAGCCACTGTTAATAGCTGCAGTTAGTACAGAGACAGCAAAGGAAGTGTAAGTTGGCTAAAAAAAAAACAAACCCTGTTCTTAGAACTATGTGACATCAATTATGCACTTTAAAGTAATATGAGTAGTAAACATAACACAGCTGTGTCTTGTGCTCCATGTGACGAGGTGGAAGGGGAAAACCAGTATTTTCAAATGAAAAAGAATGAAATTTTGTTTTTTCAAGCTTCTGAACAAATTTTACAGATAAAACAAACAACTCCCAAATATCTTAAAACGTTTGTTTTCCCTTTTCAACCTTTAAATCTTTCACAAAAGTGACAAGTTAAAGTTTTAAGAATGGCTTGAAAAATCTACCAGATAATCACTACTACTAAGCCATTCCAAAAGATATGGTCCCATGTTTCCAATGGAGCCCCAGGGAGCGTTCTTATGAGATGCCCTCCATACTCAGTCTTGGATGATGGAAATTATAAACGAAGACAACCTTTTAACTGTTTTTTTCTTTTCAGGGTGTGTGTGTCTTCTCCTCCTTAACAGGATTATGCTCTTGAGTAAGACTATAGGGATTCCTGTAAATCCTAACACAACTCCAGCAGGAACAGTAGAATGAAATTTTGTTCATTATACTCTAATGAGCAGGGAGGCTTTACTGTTTATGTATAGAAGAGTTATTTTGTCAAGTCAAATTGTGATCATGTGGTTATTCAAATATTATATTTATAGATTAAAGCTGAATTAGAGTACAGTAAAATATGCAAATATTAACTCTTAATTTCTAGGATTTAATACATGCCCTCTCCCAATTAGATGTCTCTTTTCCTTTCTATTTTATTAGAACCCAGTTATCATGTTGCACTTGCAACTTCTGCTGATTATAATACAGAAGTTGCATGTGGCTTGGAAAAATGTCGCTGTTGTTTTGATGCATAGTTAGTTCAGTCTCTGTTTAAATATCTTGTTGATTGTCCACTAATACATGATGAACATATGAAATCCTCTCCACACAATAAAATGGATTATTACAAATCAAAGTAGAAAGGGAAAAAATGCCTTACTATTATTCACAAAGCTTCATTTATGTATTACTGGAGATTATTGAAGGATAATGAAGGGCCATTATCAAATATTATACTACATAACCAGAAATAGCCCCTTATCTTTGCTAGTAACACTTTATTAAAATGCAAAATTGAAATAAATATAATTTACTTTACATTTATGTTCATTTTTCATCTTGGACAGTGAAAATAAACTACTCATTCACTTTTGTTTATAATCTGTTTCACTTCCTGGTTCTCATGCATTAATTAGGCTCATGCTTGGGAAAGTAAATAAAAAAGCAAAACAGTTTTCATTAACATTTTTTTTTCTCTTGAAGAATATACTGTATTCCTCCCCCTTGTCCCCCAAAACCCCAAAACAAAACAACAACAAAAACCCCAACACACCACCCCAGGATTGCTGGAACAATGTGTATAGTGGGGGAGCTGAGAGCCATTGAACCAAACTGTAAACTCTGTATATAATGGAAACCACTGCAGCACCCCCTCAGCTCTAGTTCTAGCACCTGTGCCCCAACCCTTCCTAAATTTTGGTCCTAAATAGGGCTGTTGATTAATCACAGTTAACTCACGTGATTAACTCAAAAAAATTAATTGCGATTATTCGCACTGTTAAACAATAGAATACCAATTGAAATTTATTAAATATTTTGGATGTTTTTCTACATTTTTATATATATTGTATTCTGTGTTGTAATTGAAATCAAAGTGTATATTATTCTTGATTACAAATATTTGCACTGTGAAAGATTAACAAAAGAAATAGTATTTTTCAATTCACCTCATACAAGTACTGTAATGCAATCTTTGTGTCCTGGAAGTGCAACTTACAAATGTAGACTTTTTGTTACATAACTGCTCTCAAAAACAAAACAATGTAAAACTTCAGAGCCTACAAGTCCACTCAGTCCTGCTTCTTGTTCAGCCAATCACTAAGACAAACAAGTTTGGTTATATTTACAAGAGCTAATGCTACCCTCTTTTTATTTACAATGTCATCAGAAAGTGAGAACAGTCATTTGCATGGCACTTTTGTAGCCAGCATTGCAAGGTATTTACACGTCAGATATGCTAAACATTCATATGCCCCTTCATGCTTCACCCACCATTCCAGAGGACATGCTTCTATGCTGATGACGCTTATTAAAAAAATAATACATTAATTAAATTTGTGACTGAACTCCTTGGGGGAGAATTTTATGTGCCCTGCTGTTTTAACCATTCTGCCATACATTTCATGTTATAGCATTCTCGGATGATGACCCAGCACATGTTGTTCATTTTAAGAACACTTTCACTGCAGATTTGGCAAAACGCGAAGAAGGTACCAAAGTGAGATTTCTAAAGATAGCTACAGCATTTGACCCAAGGTTTAAGAATCTGAAGTGTCTTCCAAAATATGAGAGGGATGAGGTGTGGAGCATGCTTTCAAAAGTCTTAAAAGAGCAACACTCCGATGAGGAAACTACAGGACCCGAACCACCAAAAAAGAAAATCAGCCTTCTGCTGGTGGCATCTGACTCAGCTAATGAAAATGAACATGCATCGGTCCGCATGGCTTTGGATTGTTACGATCAGAACCAATCATCAGCAGGGACATATGTCCGCTGGAATGGTGGTTGAAGCATAAAGGGACATGACTCTTTAGTGCATCTGGCACGTAAATATCTTGTGACGCCGGCTACAACAGTGCCATGAGAATGTCTGATCTCATTTTCAAGTGACATTGTAAACAAGAAGCGGGCAGCTTTATCTCCTGCAAATGTAAACAAACTTGTTTGTCTGAGTGATTGGCTGAACAAGAAGTAAGACTGAGTGGACTTGCAGGCTCTAAAGTTTTACATTATTATATTTTTGAATGCACTTATTTCCTGTACATAAGTCTACATTTGTAAGTTCAACTTTTATGATAGAGAGATTGCACTACAGTACTTGTATTAGGTGAACTGAAAAATACTTTTTTGTTTTTTTTACAGTGCAATACTTGTAATCAAAATAAATATAAAGTGAGCACTGTACACTTTATAGTCTGTGCTGTAATTGAAATCAATATATTTGAAAATGTAGAAAACATCCAAAAATATTTAAATAAATGGTATTCTATTATTGTTTAACAGTGCAATTTAATTTTTTGAATCACTTGACAGCCCTAGTCCTAAACTTACTTGATGGTGTCTAGTGTTGAAATTCTTTTTTTTCTCATCTCTGATATGGGTGACAGACACGATTTGCAACTCTTTGTCATGTTTGTCAACTGACATACTGAATAGTTCATAAGTATAATTATTTATGAATGATTGTTAATATTGGAGAACTTGACACTTATTGTGAAGCGAGGAATTTGTTATCCTGGTTTTCATGTCATAGTCACTAAGGACTAGATCTGCAAAGGGGACTTAGCCTCAGTGTTCAAATACCTAACTTAACCCTGCTGCTTCATGACAGCCACAGCCCGGCGTTAGGCACCCAGGCTCCCTATACAGTGTATGGGGAGAGTTAGGTGCTGAAAAATGGGATCTGCAAAAGCCAACAGGGTGAGTGGAGAGCCACTTAAGCTAGCCAATAGGTCACACTCCTCTCCTTGGCATTTCCTATCTAAGTGCCTAAGTCTGGGTCAGAGGGAGGCACCTATTTCTGCTTGCAAGGCCGTCGAGAGTGAGTTCGAGCCCCGGTGAAAATTTTTTTTCGGGCCCCCCCAGCAAGGGCAGATCGGCTAAACAGGGCCGACGAGGGGTGGAGAGCCAGTCCCCGGGCCCCGGTAATTTGTACCGGCTTTCCCCCCCTCTCATCGGCCCTGTCTGCTTGGGATCCACAGTCAGGAACCTTCTCCTGGAATTTGGCACCTAAGCCCTTCCTTACAAAAAACAGGAAGTGACGGCTGCCTTTAGCTCAGAGCACTCAGCTAACATGTAGGAGACCCCCTCTGCCTGATTTGAAGCAGGGATTTGAATCCATATCTCCCACCTCTCAATAGAGTGCCCTAGTCACTAGGCTGTGGGATATTCTGGGGTAGGTGGCGCTCAGTCTTCGGTGACTAATTATTTTTACACGGTGGAATGGCTTCAACAAGAGAGATATTCCACTGTGTACAAATTTTAGCATTGGAACAGGGAATTGAACTCGGGTCTCCCACATCCCAGGTGAGCCACTGGGCTATAGAGTTAATTTCAGTCTTTCTCTGGCTTAGTTCCCACTTGGGCTTAGGCATGAGGTTGGCACCTGGGCGCCAGGACTAAAGCGCCTGTGCTTATGCCCAGCAGCAGATTATTAGGTATCTAAGGGACTTTACTGGTGGAAACGTAGCCACCTATAGGATTAGGCAACAGCTGAATGGAGTTTTTTAGCATCTACGTTTTGGATTTAGGCAGCTAAAGTGGCAGTTAGGCTAGATCCACAAAGGTATTTAAGGAATGCTACTTAAAATGCCTAAGTCTTACGGCTTTAGAAAATAATGCCAATAGAACATGGTTCTTGCACTTTCTCAAACACAACTGCTGGGAGAAACAAAACACGAATTACAAAACCGAAAGAAAAAAGTCTTGGCAGTTATTTTAATTCTGTTTTATTGAAATGCTTCAGTGCTGTTGGATAAACAGAAATATGGGCAAAGTGCTAAATCTTCTGGGTCTGCTACTTGATCAAAAAATCCTTGTTTTATTTCTGGTGATGTTAGTGAGTTTTATGTGAAGTCACAGTACTTTGAAACGAGAAGGGCACTTACACTGAAACATGTTCGAAGATACTCAAAGGAGGGACATCGATCAAAAGATTTAGAATTTTGCAAGGTTGGCATGTTCAGTTTCTTAAAGGGCTACTGTCAAGTTTTCATAGTTTTTAATTAAGTTTTCATTGTTTCTAAACTTTGAAAATATGTTATCTTTTGCCACCAGTTTTGACCTTTTTTGTAATTTGGCATGCTCCTCCTGTTTCATAAAGAATATAAGCCAGTGGTGGGCAACCTGCGGGCCGCATGCAGCTCATCAGGGTAATCTGATTGCGGGCTGCGAGACATTTTGCTGATGTTGACCGTCCGCAGGGACAGCCACCTGCAGCTCCCAGTGGCCACAGTTCACTCTTCCCGGCCAATGGGAGCTGCGGGAGGCGGCGCAGGCCACAGGGATGTGCTGGCTGCTGCTTCCCGCGGCTCCCATTGGCCGGGAACAGGGAACTGTGGCCACTGGGAGCTGGGGGGGGGAGGGGGAGAGGGGGCCGTGACGGTCAACATCAGCAAAATGTCTCACGGCCTGCAATCAGATTACCCTGATGGGCCGCATGTGGCCTGCAGGTTGCCCACCACTGATAAAAGCCATTATGTCTTACTTGGCTGGCATGTTTGACAACAGCATTAGTAATAACATTAGTACAACTCTAGATAACTAGTCTTTAGTCCCTTGGCTGTCTGGCTCTGCTGAACTAAAATATTCTATGGTCATTCATAAACAATTTGTGTGACATTAGTATGCTACATTAAATAGGAAAAGTTAGAATCAGGGAACACTCTTGACAGGATTATGGTTATAGAATTATGCAGTAAACTCACTCAGGCTCTTTTATAAATGTAATTAATTATCATGGACATGGTTTTATAGAACAAAACAATCAAATCAAGACAAGGCTTTACATTATTGCCTTTTTATGACCTTATTAGCAACAAGAGATTGGCCTGCGATATTGGTAGAGTAGTCCTTATGTTCATTGGTGACGAGAGTCCTGGGTGAGCTTCCAGGTTAACTCAGGTGGAAAATCTAATTTATTTTCAAGTGCTTTTCAGTAAATAGTAGCCAGATTGTTAGTCTCCTTCCATAATCATCCAATATGCGCTGATCCTTTTTCTCTTCTTTGGGTAGTGACAGATGATTTAACAGAATGTCAATATTAAAAACCCTATCTTGTACTCCTTCTTAGTTGTAGTTGGACTTTGTCACATGCAATTAAATGTTTCTGGACAAAATTTACAGCTGTCAGTTATTTAAAAAAATTAAAATGGGAAGATTAAATTAATATGCATAGTAATTTTCTTGAGAGATCTATTTATGGGTGACATTGCAGCCTTCTTCAGATTTCCATTGGTAACAGTTATACTGTGTGTGTATGGCCTTTATATTTCATATGTGGTATTTCTCACTCTTCTTTTTTACCTCATTATACTATATAGGTAATAGAAATGGGTCTCTCAAGCCGGACACAGACAGAAATGTACACATTTATTTTCTGATGACATTGTCCCTACAGTAGTTAAATTAGAGTAATTTGTGAGCCTTGAGTTCTATTACTGTTTTCTGGTGATCTTTGTAGCCTTGTTAAGGGGTGGTGTCAGTGTCTTCCTCATCAAAGAAGACTTCTGATATATATTTATAAAGTATATCTATAAATTTATATATCTATAAATTTATATATATGAAACTGTTAGCTCAGTATTTATGCCACATAAAAGTATGAGAGGACCATACTCTAGAGTGCACTGCTGAATTCCCTAGTACAACCATTTACACGTTGTGTTGCGTAGTCATCCAGCTTACTTCTGTTTCCAGACTCTGGACTTAGTTTCCAGCCAAAAACCATCCAGTCTGGAAGTAAGCTAGCCTGCTGCTTCCCTGAAACTATCCAAGTGAGTAGGAGACCAAGTTCTCACCTTTCTCATAGCCTATTTCCAGTAGGGTAGATGGCCCTGAAACCTTTCCTCATGTTCTTGCCACCCCCTAGGGAATGAAACATAACCTGCTTTGTGGGGAGAGGACTCCTGTCAATGTTACTTGATGATTTAGTGTCTTTCATGAAAACTAAAAGAGACTTAAGAGGGCAATCCCTCAAACAAGAAGCTTTCTGCCTAGAACATGCGAGAATGAATAGTGGGTACATATTAGGCATTTATGGTTTTTGTTTTTGTTTTTTTAATATACAGAAGAATATTTTTCTTCCCCTTTATACCTGTTTAAAGTCCATTCTGAATTTTAATATGTTTGCATATTTCTGAAGTCTGTGAAAAGTTTAAACTCAGTTCCTAAGAGGTTTTTGCTCTTTTTCAATGGCAGTAAAACTCCTAGTTCCCTGGGTTGATGTCCAGAAACTGGAAAGAACCTCCAATGTCTTTATGACTGATATCATCCGTATCACCACTTCAAGTAAAGAACGAGACTTCTCCATGTTCCTTAATATTGATGAGGCATTCAGGATAATGGAGCAGCTGGCAGACGTAACGCTCCGAAGGCTACTAGATAATGAGATCTTTGAACTGGATCCAGGTCTCCAGGATCCTACTCAGATTACAAAAAGGTAAAAAGCAAAGTTCTTGCTTATGCAAGAAGAATTATAGAAGTACATTTCCCATTTTTCAGTATTTTATTAGCTTGGTGGTAATTAAATATTGAACAACAGTGTCTTGAGGAAAAAACAGATTTTATAATATTTTTGATCTTCTCAAATAGAATTTTTCAGTGTGTATGCCACTCGTCTGGAGTAGGTATTCAAGTCACACACCTACATTTTCTGTATTTTCTGAAGCAACATCACTCCTTTCTTTTTGTCTTTTAAAAGTACCATTTCATTGCCCAAAAGTAAATTCCAGTAAGCGAGAATTCCAACTGCCTTGAACAACAGCACTCTTTGTTATGCTCTTTGTTCTGTGTAAGCGTTCCAAGTGCTGATAACATGGTAATTATTGCTTGTGGTCCCATCCTAATGAACTTCTGACAGACGGAAAGTCCCTACTTCTATTATTCTCATAGTTGATTTAACAGGGAGTCCTGGGAATCAAAACTGTAGTGAGAGATTCATATGCGATTGTCTGTACTACACTTTGCCTTTCATTCCAAATAATCCCTATATGGATTCCTCACCCACCACTGAAATGAAGTTAACTCTGAGGGGAGGAAAGTGGTAGCCATTCTGTGCCTGTAACACTACACAAGACACACGCGCGCGCACACTCATGCTCTCTCACTCTCTCTTTTAAGGAAAGTGCAGAAGGAATTTTAGGTGGGCAGAATATAATGACCAAAGTTGGAATTTACCTAGGACACCCTTGTTGACATCATGGGGTCAAATACTTCTAGTCTGGGGGTCATTCCAGGCGTGTAGGTTGTGGTTTTCCCAATTATACATCCAAGTCCCTTGACCCTGCAGTCAGAACAGTACACCCTCATAAATATAGACCACTCATGCTACATGAATGAATGATTTGTGAATGGTTTCTAGGTGGGAAGAAGAGGTTCTGCTGATGAGAATACAGGTGTCCAATGACTGTTTTCCGTTATTAATATGCTTCGGTTTTGGTGGCCATTTCTGCAATGATGCTAAAATTACAACCCCTTTTCCAAATTCTTGTGAATAGTGCTATAGGATCTTTAATAGCAGATGAAGATTCCTATACACTATTATTTTTCCCACGCATTTTAAATTTACACTTAATAGGTGAAGTCCTGGCTTCATTGAAGTCACTGGGGCTAGGATTTTGCCTATTATGTCATTGAAGAATATATTTTGAGCAGTCTGTAAATTTAATGAAGGCAGTAAGCAGTAAAACTTATTTATATACGCCTATTCAGTGATGCCAGAGGTTTCTTTAAACTAGAAGATTTGGGCCAGATTTTTAAAAAGTGCTTAAAAGGATATTGTTGAGGTTTTTGTTTTTTTAAAACTAAGACTTTGCCTTGGTAATCGTGTGTGTGTGTGTATGTGCATGCTCTTACTCTGAAGAGTCAGTTGTATTTCTAAACCCTCTTTCTGCTTTCCACTCCCTCTCCTGCCCCCCCCCCCCCGCCTCTAAACAAACGAGTTCCTCCGAACCTCATCTTTCGGACTAAAAATATATTGTCTTGAAGTAAAGAAACTAATGCACAGGAGCTATGACACAAATTGCACACCAGTTTTTTTTCTGGGGGATTCCTAATTTGTAATTTTTAAGTTCTCCTTTTCCCACCAAAAGACTCCTTGAATTAAAAATCTTAATTGAAACAAAAGTTAACACCCTCCACCCCCCACAGAAGTAAATATTGCACTTAATAGACCTCTGATATACTGTAGTGGCAAGACCTTCAGCCGAATCAAACTACAAATTGTTTTCTGAATCGAGTTTGAAAAGAAGTATGTATATTAATGAACCAGCAATAGGAGCACAAATCATCCCACACCTATAATCACACAGTTTTCCCCCTCCCCTCCTTTCTCTTTTCTAAAAAAAAAAAAAATGAGAGAAGAAATAGTTTGCAAGAGAATTCCTGAGCCTGACATTCTGTAAACATGCTGGCAAGTGGTAACTTGAGAGTGTGAGCAGAAAGGAAAATACAAAGATGTTGAAATCCCATTTCCTGTACTCAGGTTAGACAGGTAGTGGCTAGCTAGGTAGGTTGGTACTTTGATGTAGTATGATTCAGCAAGTTTGTTTTTTGAATAGTGGATAAACGAGTTGCTAATTCTGACATATTTGGGTTGGAGTGACTTGTTTTTTCATTGTTGTAATTGTTCAGGGAATACTAGTTCTCACTTAATATTTCCTTGTGTTCTCTCCTTAACATTCCCTTTTTTGCCTTGGAAGCAAATATTAGAATGTATTCTAACGCAATGCCAGAATCAATGTAATAGGCCATATCAGGATGTATACAAATTGATTTAAAATAAAAAGTCTGATTTCTCCCTCTGCCCCTCCCCCCCCAATATAAGTTAATCTTTTGGGAAAAAATAATTTAAAATTTTAAAATGTATGTTCAAAGCAAAATTTATATAATCTATTACAATCATTTAAATTAAATTTAAATAATAGTTAAGCGGTAGGTGTTTGCTGCCAAAGTTTAAAAAAAATCAAACCACTGAACTGGTTGAAGTCACTGGCTAAGCACCTGGAACCAGGGTTTGTTGACATTCTAAATCATCTTTTGACACCAGTAGCCTCTTCTGCAGGTTTAGAGAGAATATTTTCTTCATTTAAGATTATTCAACTAGTTCAGTTTAAGGACTAGTCCACTCATAGTTGAGAAACCAATTGAGAGTTGAAAAAGCAGGGGAGCTTGTTTTTCCTTTTTCCAATCTATGAATAAAAATGAGATGAGCGAATGAGACTTACTAGTTCTAAAATCTTGAAGGACAATGTGACCAGAAAAAACAGTTCAATTCCCTAACTGCAGTTACTTCCTTTATTTAGTAAATCCATTAGTTTTAAATGCAAAACATGTTTTGATAAACTATTTTTCTTACATATCCAGTACATCTAAGATCATTTTTACTAATAAAATAAAACAATTTTAAAGTGTTATTTTTGTGCATTCCAGTTGAATTCCAATTTCCATCCAAATGCAGCTTTACACAAATCATGAGTAAAAAAAAAAATTAATCTTGTAAATGAGAAACATCATTCACCGTTTTCTAACAGAAAAATATGTAAAAATTAAGAATCTGAATAAATGTATATTAAGCTATAAATAAATGTGTACCCTCCTGGTTAGCAAAAAAGAGGAGCAAATTACACCAATCAATGAGAATTAATCTTTAAGAAAATAACTTAAAAAGTACAAATGCAAAACGAGATTAAAATTGATATTTAAATCATGGTTTCCTGCCTGTTGATTTTTAAATCATGATTAAAATAAATTATTTAAATCACTTTAATTTAAATGAGTCCACCCTGGGCCATATACACCTCTACCCTGATATAACACTGTCCTCGGGAGCCAAAAAATCTTACTGCGTTATAGGTGAAACCACGTTATATCGAACTTGCTTTGATCCGCCGGAGCGCGCAGCCCTGTCCCCCCGGAGCGCTGCTCGTGATATATTGGGTCGTGTTATATTGGGGGTACAGGTGTATTATAAAAATGACTCCTTTACACTCCCCCCCCCATTAGTATTTTTTTTATACTTGTTGATGGGTTGGACACTACATTTCAGGGAGGGTTGTGGCAATTCTTTTTAAAAGATGCCTTCATTTCTCTGGAAAAATGAGAACTTGTGTGGAAGATCATTATATCCTATATAAACTACACATGGAAAATAGAAGCTTATAATTATAATTCATATTTCAGAGTCTCCTGTTGTCATCTTGCTGAAAAGTAATATAGGGCCCAACCTTGCAACCCTTTACTCATGTAGGTAGTTCTGTAATTTCAATGGGACTACATGTGTAGGGGCTGCTGAATCACATAGGCGCCAACTTTCCCTGGCGCCGATGGGTGCTCGCGTGCCACCGCTCTGACTCCACCCTTTCCTCGCCGTGCCCCCATTCCAACCCCTCCCCCAAAATCCCTGCCCCAATTCCGCCCCCTCCCTGCCCCATTGGACCACTTCCCCAAATTCTGGCCCCAGCCCCGCCTCTTCCCCAAACGTGCTGCGTTCCCCCTCCTCCCAGCTGCGCGAAACAGCTGTTTCGCGGCGCAAGCACTGGGAGCTAGGGGGAAAAAGCGGGCACGCAGCGTGCTCAGGGGAGGAGGCGGAGGTGAGCTGGGCGGGGAGCTGCCAGTGGGTGCTGAGCACCCACCAATTTTTCCCTCTGGGTGCTTCAGCGCCAGAGCTGGAGCAATATTGGGGCCTAGTGTCAAAGCAGATTATTGGGGCCTAGTGTCAAAGCAGATAGTAAATCAGTTTCCTTCCTTCTTAATGTAATGATGATGATCATAGACATGGATTACAAAGGGATTAATGGCCATTTAAGCACACTCAAAAGCAAAGTGAAGCTGAGGGGCAGTTGATAACCACAAAAGGCCTTTATTGCAAATGCAGTTCAGTGCCATGAACTACACTGTTACATAAGATAACTCTCTTATCCAAAGAGATTAGATTTTCTTTCTTTGTGAGGGTTTGAAATGCTGTTTTACTGCTTTCTTTGATTTTCTGCTTCCATCTCATTCAGGATGTGTAGAGGACAAACACTTCTTGAGGAAATGGCCTGAGTGGAAATGTAATTGGGTGCATACGGTGCCAATAAGATTTGAAGAGGATAATAATTTGTCTGGGCTGTTACTGTCTTAAATCCTTTTTCTTGTTAGGTAGTGATGAGTTACCAATCCATAGAATTTGAAGCAAAATATTTAAAGCAAAAAAGTTCTTTTGATTGTTAAGCCAGTGTCAGAGCTGAATGGAAACTGGTTGATGAAATAGCTTGCATCGCAAGTGTTGCTTTCATCCATGTGATTGCTTCTGACAGGGAGGCTCAGAATATCAATGTGTTTTGAATAAAACGACAATCTTTTACAAATACTTCCCAGTTTATACATATCAGGTACTTCTCACCCCACGGAATGAAAAAATAGTGAGTAACCTTTCTCTAAAAGTGAGAAGTCATCTAG